GCGGAGGTGTCCGATGATGACGGGGAGGAGAACGCCGTGGTAGTGACTGCTGATGCCGCTGACGAGGAGGCCGCCAAGGCTCAGGCCCAGCAGGAGGGCTCCAGCCGCAAGCGCCGCAAGATCGCCGTCGCCTCGGACGACGAAGACGGCGACGACAACGAAACCGCCGCCGGCGAGGTCGCAGCCGAGCCTGCCGCCGACAGCGAGACCAACAAGATGCAGATCGAGGAGAAGAAGGTCGAGGGGGAGGAGGAGGAGGTGAAGAAGGCGGAGGTGGAGAGCGAGGAGGAGAAGGAGCGGAGGGAGAAGACGGAGAAGACGCAGGAGGCGATCAAGGAGACGCTACGGCGCTACTTGAAGGAGCAGCTCACGGTGGAGGAGGCCCGGCTGCAGACCCCCAAGCTGCTGCGGCTGCACGTCGAGGCCGCCCTGGGCCACAGCGTTGAGGAGCACTCGACCTTCATCCTCCAGTGCGTGCGTCAGCTCTTCTCCACCACCGCCTGAAGCTTCTCCGCCATCACACAACACCTCCCGATGTACAAGAGCACTGTCATCAATTACAAAAAGGCCATTAAGTTGGCCATTAGCGATGATTAACTAAGTTGTATGAGCCAGTTGGCCTACACATTCTTTTTGAATGATCACTTCCCCAACTTTCATCTTTCGTTTTGCAATAGCTTGCTATGCAAGCTTCAGGACTGTTCAACAAGGGTGAAGGGGAGGTGGAGGTGGGCGCGCGAGTGGTTGGTGACCTGATCCAGGCTGGCGCCGAAGACGAAGAAGGGCGCGTAGTCGCGCACAGACGCGATGGCGCCGCTCTGTCGCAGCTGGGCGCGCTCGCGGGCCTGCTTACGCTCCAGGAAGCGCCGGATCCGCGGGCCGTCCCACGTCGGCCCGTAGGGTATGTACGTCTCGTCATAGGCCGCCCCACCATCACCCGCCTCCTTGTCGGGCTCGCCAGCGTTCGTCTGCTTTTTCTCTGGCGCGGCCCTGAGGGTGTCGAGCGCGAACTGCAGGCCGACGATCTTGGCCAGCGCGACGCCGTCGGCCTGGACCAGCGGCACTCCAGGGCGAACATCGCGGCCTTTGGCCCTGTCCTGCAGTAGTTGCTGGGCATCGAACACGCGCAGCGCGAATCCCCTCCGGCAGTACTTCACCGCTCGGAACTGCCCCACAC